TTTGAAGAAGATTTTGATCTTCTTTATATTTGTCGGATTTGGAGTTGAGAGGATTTTTTATTTTCCTTCGGATTTGGGATTTCTTCATCATTTCGTGATTTTCTTGTTCACTTTTTGCTTCCTCCCTTTGCAATGAACCTTTGACCCCCTATTTAAAGGGGAAATTCTTGGCCAATTTTGGTAGCCACTCAATTAATTTAATTAAATTGATTATAGTTGAATAATTGTGGATTTTAAAAATTGTAGGATGGGCTTTTAAAATTTTATGGTCCTTAGTATGTTTTAGTTTAGTAAATTTAATTGGGCTAATTATTTAAATTGACCCAATCCACTATTTATCTACAAATGCCCGCTCAAGATTTATTAATTTATTATGAAATAAATAAATTAGTAAATCTTGATTTTCGATTTTTTTTTTTGCTTAATCGTTGTTCGATTATTTATTTATTTTAAACAATTATTGATTTNAATTGGGTTGATTATTTAAATTGACCCAACCCATTATTTATTTATTTTATTATTATTATTTTTTTATGTCTACAAATGCCCCCTCAAGATTTATCAATTTATTATGAAACAAATAAATTAGTAAATCTTGATTTTCGATTTTTTTGACGTAATCGTTGTTTGATTATTTATTTATTTTACATAATTCTTGATTTACTTGATTATTTATTTATTTTAACAGACTTTTTATATTTTATGGTAAGTTGGGCTCAAGTGAAGCCCGAAATTTACCTATTTATATGAACAAATTATGTGGTTTAGAAATTAATTAGATTAAATTTGCAGACAAAAGGTAAGACAAGATTTTTTTTTTTTTTAAATTGGTTCCACCGTCGGCGGAAACCAACCAAACAATGTTTGGTTTCTGCTGTTGGCACAGTCGGCAGAAACCAGTAACCAGTAACCAATATTGGTTTTAATTTGTTTTTCACGTTTTTTTCCCGTATGAACAGTGTACGACACTGTTCACATGAATAGTGCCGTACACTTTTCACGTAAACAATACTCCTTTTTTTTATCAGATTGGATCTAACATTTTTAGTTTTTATTTTCAGGGATTCATCTTTTGGGACAAATCAAAAATTTTGAGGTTTGAGATTTTCTTTGTGTAGAATAAAATTTTGTGCTGCGATTATTTTATAGGTTTAGAAAATATTTGTTCATGAACAAACTCAAGACCAAAGTTTGCCGCCTTTCGCCATCCAAGCCATTTTATCTTTGGAACCAAAGACCGACTCCTTTGACCGTCTAGGATACTTTATGTTTAGAACCAATGACCGACTTCTTCGATGGACCGAGGCACTTTGTGTTTTGGATCAAGGACTGACTCCTTCGACCGTCTGAAGCATTTTGTGTTTGGGACCAAGGACTGGCTCCTTAAACCTTCCAAGGCATTTTGTGTTTGGGACCAAGGATCGACTCTTTCGACCGTCCAAGACATTTTGTGTTTGGGACCAAGGACCGACTCCTTCAACCGTCCAAGGCACTTTGTGTTTGAGACCAAGGACCGGCTTCTTCAACCGTCCAGAGCGCTTTGTGTTTGGGACCAAGGACAGACTCCTTCGATTGTCCAAGGCACTTTGTTTTAGATGCCATTTACATATCCGAGAAACTCATGATTTAGACAATAAATGAACCTAAAAGATAAACTGCCTGTTTTTTTTTTTTTTACTTTCTTCATCCTCCTTTTTTTTAGGAATAGCTGAGACAAACTCTAATGATAAGTGTATTTTGATATACACGAGATGATGAGCTTA